ACCTCAGTCTGTTCAGAAACCCCATGGTAGAAGCATCAGCAGCCGCACTGCATTGTTGCCAATTCTTACATGTCTTTGTGTAGTGTTGTGACCATTCACCAGAAACCAATGTTCCATGATGCTACATCTGGCACCAATGTATGTTTGTTTCCTCTCTTTCTCACCCCTCCACCTCCCACCTCTACTTCCTACCATGGCACAGCACATGTGATTGGTGCACGCTTCAGCCGCCACTTCCGCTGAAAACTGTTATAGTCTTTTGTATTAAATTAAATTAAATCTGTGGCGTAACAGCTCCAGAGAGCCAAAGCTGACTAGCTTGACTCCTGGCATCACGTTCACATGCCTAAACAGAGGTGAACGATCATCCAACCAGATATATGGTGACGTGTGGTCAGCACGACGAACCCCCAGCCATTGCTAGCTTTCCTGACCGGATTACGCTACTCATTGTAGCCCCCCAATTTCCTCACGATGCTGGGTTGGCACCGGTCCCATACACTGGTTGAAAGCTCATGAGAAAATTTCTTCTCCCCCGAGACTCGAACCAGCGCGCATTCCGTATCGCCGGTCCAAAGCACGATGCCTCAGACCGCGCGGCTACAGCGCGGGACAGTCTTTTGTATAAACCCTTGAATTAAGTTCTGTTTTCCAGGTTCATGACCTTGTGCTGTTTCAATACTTTTCAATTTTCAAGCACACCCACTTTTATGCTTTAGCACTATGTATCATTATGTTGGAGGCATACAAATCTTTTATGTTTCAGCCAAGCTATATTGTAAGATGCAAACACATGCACTTCTGTGGAGGAACTATTAATAAACTCAGGATAGCTAGCCCCAAGAATTTCAACTAGTAACCATCTCAATATAAGCTACATAATACAGAGCAAACTTTTAGTCCTAAATTCAATTTATGTATGCCATCCCAAACAAAGCTGGTCAAAGTGGCTGCGTGGTCTGTGGCGTGGGTCTCGTGCTCTTGGACACTGTGGCCATGGGTTTGAATCCCGCTCAAGGCATGGATGTCTGTCTGCATCTTTCTGTGTTGTGCTGTCCGGTGTATAGGTAGAAGCCTTGTGATGGGCTGATCACTTGTTCACAGAGTCCTACCAAATGTCTAATAGATTAAGAAACCTCTAATAATTCTGTCACTCACCTGTGGTGTTAATTCAAGCTCCAGTTCTCCAGACAGATACTGGCGTTCAAACTCTGCATTCTCACCAAC